GAATTTATTTCAGCCTCTTCAAATCCTGAAGTCAGAAATTTCATCCAAGCCCTTAAACTACATTCTTCTGAGAGTAAAACTCATCTCCTCATCCTGTAACTTTTGGAAACAAAGGCCAAATACTCCCTTAAATCTGTACCACAAAGAAAAAGGTCCCAGTGGAGCCGCACCAATGGCTTCTGTAACACCATGGTGCTAGACCTCTTTCTGTAATTCTGACCATCCTCTTCTCTTTCCAGCACTGGTCCTCACCTCCTTCCACCCATCTCAGCGTAAGATAGCCCAGGCCTCAGTCCTTCTCTGTCCACAGGGCCACTCGAGAGCCTGTCCAATGGTGTGGGATATGATACATCACTCAGGACTCAGAGTAAAGTGCTATGGGTCTCCGTTCTGCCTCTGACCAGTAGTGGGGCCCTGGACCTACCATGTAATTTCTCTGGATATGAATTTCTATCTATATGTACACAACTAAGATTAGATAATATCTTAATCTCTTCAACCATTAAGTGTCCAGGACACTATTCTACCAACTCCAAGATGATAACTTCCAAACAGTCTAGCTGTATATACTCCACCAAGCTCTCAGATTCTTCCATTTACTCATTCATTCATTCACAAACTATTTATTTAGCAGCAATATGCATCGGGCACCGTGGTAATCTTTGGGGATACACTGGTCAATAAAAAAGGCATGATCCCTGCCTTTGTGAAGTTTACAGTCTAGTGGACATCAAACAATGTAAGAATGATAATTAATAAGCAAAAAAATACATATAAAATTTCATATGGTGCTAAGTACTTTGAAACAAAAGAGAGGGCAGGAGAGAGAGAGGGGATACAGTGTGAGAAAATCACAGCGCAAGCCCTCTCTGAAGGGATGGCATTTCAAGATTCTAGGGATAAGAAGGAGGCTGACACCCAAAGAGAAGGAGTAAAACCATTTTAGGCAAAAAGAATAACACGTGTAGAGGTCCAGAAGCAAGAAAAGTAGTTTGTGTATAAAAGGGGCTGATAGATCTGCAGCAGTGGAGGTGAGGAGAAGCAGCAGAAAAGTGGCATTTCTCTCCTCACTATATTCACCTGAACACAACACAGGACCAAAATCAGTGGTTCCCAAACTTGTCTGCACATTAGAATCACCTGGTGAAAGGGGGAAAAGCAGGGGCGGGGAGAGGGTTGAACTGAGAGATTGGGATTGACATATATATACTAATATGTACAAAATAGATAAGTAATAAGAACCTGCTGTATAAAAAAAAAAAAAAATCACCTGGTGATCTTCGAAAAGTTCCAAAGCTCAGGTGGCAGCCCAAACCAGTAAAATGACAAACTCCAGGGGTGGAACACAAGCATCAGGATTTTTTGCAGCTTCAGATGATTCCAAAATTCAGACAAGTTTGAAAATCACTGACTTAAATCAATTTTAGGGCTTAAGTTCTTCTTTTACTCTTCTATAAAATGATGGAGTTCAACTTAATCAAGTCAGGGCTCTTTCTTTCTTTTTTTTTTGCGGTACGTGGGCCTCTGTTGTGGCCTCGGGACGCGCAGGCTCAGCAGCTATGGCTCACGGGCCCAGCCGCTCCACGGCACGCGGGATCTTCCCTAACCGGGGCACGAACCCGCATCCCCTACATCGGCAGGCGGACTCTCAACCACTGCGCCACCAGGGAAGCCCAGGGCTCTTTCTTGCTCTAAATTAGATGATCTCTCTCCAGATGCAGATCCACAGTCATTTGCACCCATCCTCTTCCACAAATCTTCCTTCCCTCCCTTGCCTCTATCCTAGGACTCCCACATTCTCCCAGCCAGACCTGAAGCCTTAGAATCTTAGATTCTTCTCTTCACAGTGTTCCTATAAATCAAGCAGGTTCTGTTGATCCAAAGCGTTGATGAAGCCCTTCTTCCCTTTTCACCTAGATAATCACTTCCTGCAGCCTCACCCTCCAGTCCTGCCCACATCTTTCTGAACTCAATCCTGCTGCCTATTCAAGCCATAGCCACATTTCAAAGCCCTTCTCAAGTTCCACATCCTCCAGGAAGACTTCCTAACAAGCTCAAGTATCTATGACAACTAATCCGTAAAGCTTCATAATTCTCATTGTCTATATGATACAATTTAGAACTGAATTATATACTAACGTATATTATACATTGGTCTTATCTCCCCAAGGGATGTTAAATAAATGGAAAAAAATCCACATATTTTATTAATCCCTGGCATATATTAAGCATTCAAATATTAGTAGCAGCAATGGTAGCACTGGTCTTAGAGGTAGTGCAGTGGTGATGGTGTTGGCAGTGGTATTAGAAGTGGCAGTGGAAGTAGGAGTAGAGGCAGTGACAGCAACATAAAGGGCCTTATGACAGGTACTTTATATACATCATCTCATTTAAACATTAAAACAATCCTACAAAATAGTTCTAATCTCCCCACTTTACAAATAAAAAAGTTGGAGATTAGGAAGTTCAAGGAATTTACTAAGGATAGATGGCAGATCTATCTGGTCCTGAATTTTTTTCCCATTACTCCATGTTACCTCCCTATAAGCCTTCCAATAAATAGGCCCTTTTTTGGAATTCTTTTGCATCTGACATAAATTAATTGCTCGATTGATATGAATACTTGCATGCAGTGGACAATTCCCAGTAACAAATACAGACTATGGGCATTTCATTTTTGCAGACTAACTAGGGTCCCCCCAAATTGGCACTTAAGCAACAAATGTGTGTTAAGATATACTCTGGCCATTTATAAAAATGATCCTTTCCACTTAAAGTTGTCTAATATGGTAAGTGTACCAGTGGATGCCCCTTTCTCCACCAGCAAGGAGCTGGAGGATTTACCCTGGGTACTGAGCTGCCTATTGCCAACCTGGGATGCCACGAGGAACAAATGCTAATTGTGAGTCAATAAGTCACACAATTTAGAAGGTAGTCTATAAAATACTTGAGCATTCAAGGTCATTGGAACATTTCATGTGCAGAACTCATAATCCACCCAATGAAAAGATCAAGAAGGCCCCAGAAACTTAGACATTTTCTCCATCTCTTGCCTTAATTTTTCAAAAGCAAACATTGGAGTTTGGCTGCTAATAAAAAAAATCAATAGGTGAACAACACAGTAACAAAATTTCTGATCAGGTGTTTGTAGGCTATCCTGTTAGAGAACAATTTGCTATAAATAAAACAGAGATAATTATCAGCATCTTTGGGACGGGAGCGGGGCGGTGGTGGTCAACCTGTTTGGAGAAATAGTACTGCTTAGAAATGCAGATAAAATAGGTAAGAGAATGAGGAGGGAAATAATTTATGTTCCAATACTAAGCAAAGTAAAACTGAAGACAGTGTTTAAATTATGCCGCTAACAAGGTCACTTTAAAAAATTATTTCAGGATAGATAGTTTTCTGTTATTCATGTAAATAGAAAGAATCTCATGGAAGAGATCATCCAAAATAGCAGATCTAGAAGTTGCTCCTATTTACTTCAGAAATACATTATTTAATTTGCTTTTTTGTGCTTCACTTCACTTTACTAAGTCTGATTTAGGCGAGTATTATAATCAGTTTGACTTTCCTGAGCCCTCACCAAGTGCTAGGAGGAAGTTAATCTAGAATGTGCTAGTGGAAGATAATGTGAAAAAAAAACACTAGAAATTTCTCATCTTGAATGAAGAAAAATCCAGATCATGTATCTCCCCTCCTGTCTCAAATCTCTTGAAATGAAAAAAAAAATGTGTATTTTAAAAGAAAGCTAAATTTATATGGGATAAAATTGATAAAGTGCACTTCCATAATAGCAAGGAAGTTCTCGGCTCTGACACAAAACGATCTAGAATAAATCTCATAAGATCCTGATTCTTAGCATGTACTTGTGTTGTTAAACACAAATTCACTTATTCCAAAGACTGATCCACACACAAGACACCACAGAAGGTAACCTCACCTGTTTTCTGACCCAGAGTCCTGATAGTAGAAGAAAGTTTCCCTCCTAATAACTGAAGCAATTCATGCATTTGCAATAATAAAAACATTTTTAAAAGATGAGTAACTTCACAATTTTTTTCAATCTAAGATTCCCTAACTAAACTGATGGAGTCAAGATCTCTTGAGATTGACTGTGTGTCAGTGTATTTATAAACAGCCAAGTGGCCAACGTTTTGTGTTGGCAGCTAAAAGTCAGCCATTCTAGATCAAGGCTTGCAAGTGAAAATTTTTTTATTCTCCTCCATTTTCCTTTTGACTTAAGGGAGATTTAAACTGCATAGCCAGCTGGTAATACATACAACAACACTTAAAACACACATGTGGGACTTCCCTGGTAGTGCAGCGGTTAAGAATCTGCCTGCCAATGCAGGGGACACAGGTTCCATCCTTGGTCTGGGAAGATCCCACATGCCGTGGAGCAACTAAGCCCGTGCGCCACAACTACTGAGCCTGTGCTTGAGAGCCCGCGAGCCACAACGACTGAGCCCAGCTACTGAGCCCAAGCACTGCAACTACTAAGCCCGTATGCCACAACTATTGAAGCCTGCGCGCCTAGAGCCTGTGCTTTGCAACAAGAGAAGCCACTGCAAGAAGCCCGCGCACCACAACAACGAGTAGCCCCTGCTCACCGCAACTAGAGGAAGCCCATGTGCAGCAACCAACGCAAACAAAAATTAAAAAAAAAAAAAAAAAACATGTGAAAACTTGAATCAAGTAACATGAAAGGCAGAGTCAGCTTAATTACTATTATCTTTTTACCTAATGTAACTGTGGCTTGCAAAACAGTTATAATAAAAAGCATTATTTTTCCAACGTCTAGAAAAAAAATACAGACAACTGAGCTTAAAATCAGAGTATATCAAGGCATTAACCACTTAGCTAAATCACCCCATTAGTGAGGTGTTGAAAAAGGGCATATGTATGTGTATGGATGCGTTACTTATGGTAGCTCATATATGACGCAATTATTTATACTGGAAAACAAAAATATGTGACCAGAGAGGGAGGATCCTTACCTTTTCAAGTATAGCGTTGCCTTGATGAGGATTGATGTTGTGCCGGCTTATTTCTCTCTTGTATTTATATTCATAAACTTGGTCAGTGATATTAATCAGCAGAGTTGAAGGGCTGAAGACCAGTTTTCCACAATCATACACAGTTCCACTTTCAATATCAGTTGGTGCTGTAGCGTATCGTAAAATTAATCCCATTACAAGGCCTAAAATAAAGAATAAATAATTGCACTGGAGAAATGTAATCTAAAATGTTCATTACTAGATGCTTTCAAATATATGATTTGTAACTTGTGTAGGTGGCAGGAGAAAGGGTCGTTGCCTGGTTTAGAAAATTGTTCACTCTTCCACAGATACCAGCTCAACAGACTGTATTGTTAAAATATTTGCGATGGACACTGTTAATACTTCTCCTTTTTTCCTTCCTAATGGACCCACAGGTTTTGGAGAGGAGAGCTACCCACCTCTTCTATCCATCCAAGTGCTCAAGAAAACCTTGGCTCCATGAGAGATACTGTAATCTAATCAGTCAGGAGATGGAATTCCCCTGGAGAAAGTTTCTGGTTCACAGATCAGCACATATCTGAGACAGCCCCATCAGACTAAAAGGTTGCACTTATATACTGTGGTTAGGGGACAAGTGTTCTTATTCTCTCCCTCAGGATATGATCAAGACAATATGTTTCTCTACTTTTTGCTGGCAGGTATCTTGTGACCTTGAGGGGATACAGTCCAAGGACACAGTCAATATACTGAGGATGGTTGGACTGAGATATAGACAGAACCCAGGTCCTGGATGCCTTCACTGAGCCCTGGATCAACCTATCCTGGAGCTACCCTAATTCTAGACTTCCTGTTATGTGACATAATACATTTTCTAATTTTTCAAACAATGTAAAATCACGTTTCTGCTTACCTGCAGCCAAATGCATTCTAATGATATAATATTCCCTTAGCAAAGAGTTGAACTCAAGTGACAGTCCTTGACTTTTGAGTTTACAGACTCTGTTAGGATGCTCATGGTAATCTGATAAATGTGAACTCTCTTAATATTGTGGATTTATTAACAAAATCACAAAGAAACTTTAGAGGTCCACACATTCCTCAATTTAAAATTAGAATTGATGTATTTGTTTTAGGATAAATCCACCGTTCACTCATTAAAACATCAAAGTTTGGAGGTTTTAACCACTCTTTTGTAAATCTAGTCATCTAATGGCCTTTCATTTATTCAATAAAACATTTGTTGGGTGCATATTTTGTTTCAAACATTTATAGACTTAAAATAAAAATACAGTCCCAGTCCTACAGGAGCTGAAGTTTATAAAGTGAAGATCCATAAGCAAACAATTATAATACAACGTGACGTGTGCTATGACCGCTGGTAAGTCCCCTGTGTCATACGAGTATAAAGAGGAGACACTCCAAAGCTCTGTGAATGATGCAAAGCTTTAGATGAATCTTAGAAGGTCACATAAGATTTGTCCAGATGACCTGAATCAGGGAATGAGTTGGGATCCAGGCTGCACATGTGGGTGGCAGCACGTGAGTTACGGCAGAGACAGATAAATGTTCCCTAGGATTTTTGTTTGCCAATGTGTAGAATAGTTGTCAGGAAGTGGCTGCTTGGCCAGAGATTGTGTTTCCAGCTCTCTGGCATTTGGTTGGGTTCTCACCGATGGAATATAAGCAAAAGTGATGTGTGCCGCAGCACTGAAGAAGTAGGTGAGTTTTCTCCCTTCTCTTTCCCCATTTATCATATGGATGGGGCAGAAACAAAGGCCCTATAGGTATAGGTAGACAGAGTCACCACATTGAAGAAATCTGCGTCCCTGAGACACCAGGTAGGGGAAAGCCATCCGCCAACCAGGAAAACCTGCACTGGACTGTTACTTGAGTGAAAAGTTAACTTCACTTGTGTAGTCACTGAAATGTGAGTGGTTCAGTGTTAACAGTCACTAGGATAACCTAATAATATAATGTATAAATACAGAGGAATTTAAGAAATCTGATGGATTTAGGGAATCAGCATTGGAGTAAGAAGAGAATAGGTGGAGAGAGACAGAGACAGAGACAAAGAGAGAGAAAAACTCTAGACCACAGGGGCCAGGTCATAAAGAGACTCCTCTGTCATGCTAAGAAGTTTTTATTTTTAACCCAATGGTAATATAGAACTATTGAAAGATTTTAGGCAGGACAGTAAAACAGTCAGATTTTCATATAAGATCTATCACTTTGGCAGTAATGTACAGAGCTAGAGTAATAGGTGAGAATGAAAGCAGATTTCTGTCAAAAATATTTTTACCTTACTTGTTCCTGCTTCAGTATTTGGCCTACTCCCCCATAATAGTGAGAAATATTTTATCTTAACCTTTGCCAGCAAGAAAAAATAAGTGATGGGTATGTAACCACCATGAGCACTTGACCCATCATAGAACAGTGGGCAGCCTTCCATGTGCAGTGTCAAATGACTACAATAAAACAAGTCAGGAAAGAGAAGGGAAGACACACCACATACACTGCACATGGTTTAGGGTGCCTGTGTAAGAACATCACTTTTCCAACACTCTAGTGGAATCCTAGGAAGGACTCGTCTTCTAAAAGTTACTTGGCAATTACCACGGATGATACTATGACCTCTCCTTTCTGCTAAGTGGAATATAAAGAAGGGAAACAAGGTACTACATGCATAGGGCCTGAATGGAGAGAACCTGTATTGGTAATATCTGAAATTCCCAAAGGGTGAGCCGTGAGCCGCTTATTTTTGCAATATGCTTTCAGTGCGGTAGCAAGAAGTAAACATGTAGTGTCCACCATTTTTTCTCAAGCAGGGAAAACAAGTATTTGTCATAATAACAAGTGCTTAGTACCTGGGTTTCTGTGGTTAAATTCATACAATGCCTCAAAAGCTAAATGGCCGTGCCTGGCCCTCTGTACCATCTCTGGTTCCAGCGTTCGAGAACGGCACACCGGAGTAAGTGGAGTAAGCTCCTCGCTGCCAGAGGTGACCAGATGTAATAGCCATGAAAATGCACCTTGCAGATAGATCTCCCACTACAAGGAGTGTGTAGTCTGACCAATGGTCTGGAATTCATGACTGCAGTCATGCTGAACCCAGCCAATGACTGATCGCAGCAGGGGCACTAAGACAGGGATATGGGACTCCTCTGAAGGGTCACCATGGCTCAAAGACTCCGCATCAGCTTTGCCCAACCTTTCTTAGAACTGCACCGCAGCCTAAACCTTTTCCTACGCAGCCTCCCCTCCTTCCCTCTCTCCACAGGGGTTGGTTGGGCTGCTCCAAGACCTGATAGCTGGCCCAGCATCCGCAGTCTCCCTCCCCATTTTTCCTCAAAGGAATTTTCCCCCAATAAACATTTTGCACAGCTAATCTCTCTCCAGCATCTGCTTCTTGGAGGACCCAAATTAACACACTAGACAGAAGGCCCTGGCCCTCCTTCTCCCCAATCCCAAGAGTTGAGAGGAATCAACATCTTGGCACAGTACAAGGGCCAGTGGGGAAGCTGCAGCCTCACCATGCACTCGGTTAAGAAATGCATCCACCCATTTGTGTGCAGTAGCAGCAACGAGAAAATCCTTAATGTTGGAGGCCAGACACCTACTCATAGAGCCTCATAATGCTTTTGACAGCCACTCAGAGCTTTAGCTGTATGCTGACACAAACGCAGAATGTTGAGTTAACACACTCCAGCCCAGTATTGCAGGACAGCAGGTGACAGATAAAGTAGGATTGCTAGTAGGAAGAAAATGCTAATGAAAAGGGGTTATTTTTATACTCCCACAAAGATACAGGGTAAACAGAGCATCAACCACTTGTGCACAGAAGAAGAAAAGAGGGGACTGTCTACCATGACTTATGGACACAAACCAGTACTCTCTTTGGTAAGCCACAAACCAGAACCCTACCTGCCCGAGGAGAAAAGGAGGCAGCCTGTCCCAGCAAAGCAATACCACAAACACATGTGTGCATAGCCCTGACCCCAGGTTGTATCCTCACAAGCATGACACTTTGCTGAGCTCTGTCACTTGGCCGGCTGGTGGCATTACCTTCTCCAAGCAGAAACTCTAGTCCAGATGCATCCCCTGGGTCTACAAGTTTGAGCATCTGGGCAACTAGGGTGACAGCAGTGGGAACTTGCTTTCTAGTGAACGCTGACTTTGCCCCAGAAGCACACAAACCCCCAAGATAGATCTTGGACAACAGACCTCATCCCTAAGGTCCTCACAATCCTACAAAGTCCATCTCAAGTCCCAGCTGGGGGACCTGTGCTCTGATGCAGCCTGTACTCACTAAGTTCCCTAATCTCTGAGTACTTATAGTTTGCACCACACCCTTTTGGGCCCCATTTCATATAAAGATATATATTGTTCAGCACTGCTCTGTAGAGTTTGGCTTTGTCACCCCCATTGGATAATGAGACTGTTTAGGGCAGAAGCTGTGCTATTCTTCATCTCTTTTTTCTCTAGAAAAGCCAAACACTTTAGGCAGTTATAACCCAACTTTCTCCAAGTCCACAAACTCCCTTGGATTCAAGAAGAAAAGGATCCTCTGAGTTTATGTAGTTAGTCAGTGACCAACATTTTAAAATGTCACATGTAAGGAGCATCACACCAAATGTTGTGATGTTCCTGTCCTTACAGAGCTTGCAATATAACTCTCATAGCAGATGCCTGACATACAGTTGACATGGTGATGTCTGTGGGAGAGGAAAGGAGGGACGCAGGAAGGAAGGAGGAAAGAGCCTCAAGAGCACTCAAATGCGAAACATTTAGAAATATGAGCCTCCTCTTTCTGGACTGGCCCTCCATTCTCCACTTTGAAAATATGAGAAAACCCCACTCCCTTCCTCCCTCCTTCTGCTTTCATGCTACAGACATGGAAGGCGTTGCTCTAGGACTTGTGGGAATTATAAAAATGAATAAAATATGGCCCTGATCATAAAATATTAAAGTATTTTAATCCTACCAGGCGTCTTCCTTCTGCCCAATCCTATGATCCTGATTTCCAGTGAGAATAAGGTACAAGGGTTTCCTAAGTGTCTTCTTATATTAAGCCTGCATTTCATAACCAGTTCCCCTGCATCTTATTTAGTCATTCTACATGATGCTGAAATGTTATCTTAAAGAGAATTTTCTCAGAGGAATATAGATGGGGATTTACTTTTATATATAATGACCATATTTA